ATTATCTTCTTGGATTCAGAGTTTTGCATGTGTTTATCCGCTTTGTATGTTTTATCGAGTAGGCATATATCCTTACTTTGGCGATGTTGCTTACTTATGAAATATATTCATCCAAAGAAGATAAGTTTTTGTGAAAGTAGGGATAATTTCACTTTTAGTCACCTTCAGCACTGCAATTTGTAGACTAAGCAATTTTTTTAACTAATTTGGATTGGAATACTTGATGATTACCAGCCTTATCCCATTCTTATAATTATGTCAAAAACTAACATTTAGGTTTGCCATAATAATGGAATAAAAAGCACAAATTTGTTTCAGTTTTACATGGACCCTTTTAAGGTATTCCAAACTTTAGGTTTGCAATTTGTTAACAATTATCTCCCAGTTGGAGGCACAAATTCGTAATTAGTTAGAGAGGGTTCTCTCTCTCTCTCTCTCTCTCTCTGTTTCTTTTTCTCTCTCATTTCTTTCTTCTTTTTGATAATTAAATTAAAGATCAAAGGTATTTATGTACTTGATCCCAATTAGGTTATTGATTCTCAAATTTCAGTGACTTTGAATTTGTTTCAGGCTAGTGCAGACTATGGATTATTCTGTTATAGTGTTTGATACAGCTCCAACTGGTCATACACTTCGCCTATTACAATTTCCTTCGACATTAGAAAAAGGGCTCGCTAAGATGATGACCTTGAAGAACAAGTTTGGCGGCTTGTTTAGTCAGGTAGTACAAACATCCTGATTTGTTGTTATTCTAATCTTTCTCTTTTTAACTATAAAATATAATATGAAATCTCGAGATTTTCATGGCAGATGACTCGCCTCTTTGGGGTTGGTGATGATTTTGGTGAAGATGACATCCTAGGAAGGCTTGAAGGCATGAAAGATGTGATTGAACAAGTGAACAATCAGTTTAAGGATCCTGTAAGACCTTATTGGGGTTTCTTGCAGAAAACACATTTCTTGTTCTTTTACTAATTGGGTTAGGTACAAAAATTCTGCTTCAGGTTCCTTCGAATTTCAAAAAGTTTTCCAGCTATTTTTCAAACTCACCTTAACCTGTTTATGATGTTTCTGTTTAACAAATCACATTCTTAAGAGGGTGACAAACATCATACGATATTGGCAGTTCTGAAGCTGAACAGTGTGCTTTTAACTGGTGGATAGTTTTCGTAATTATCCCAATAGATATTTTGTGAGATGTGTTGTTTGGACATTGGAAGAAGGTTCAATTTTCAAAGTGTGAGTTCAGTTTTCACTATCATGGGTATGTTTTGATTCTTTGCTTTATATACCTGGAGCTCTGGCACTTCGAATTTGTTCTTATTAACTTATACAAGTCTCTCCCATCAACATCACACAATAAGTACAGTTTGTTTGACCAAATACTTGATTCTTTTAATTCTTTTTTCTTTATTTTGTGGGTAGATTTTGAAACTCAATTGGATCTTTTTATTACTATTCTTATACCTATATAAAACTCTCTCTCTCTTTCTCTCTCTCTCTCTCTCTCTCTCTCAAGTTCACATATGGTAAAAATCTCCTGATGCATTTTGTGACCTTTTCCGGCAGGATATGACGACTTTCGTCTGTGTTTGCATACCTGAGTTCCTGTCTCTGTATGAAACTGAACGGCTTGTTCAGGAGCTCACTAGATTTGAGATTGATACCCATAATATCATAATTAATCAAGTAATTTTCGATGAAGAAGGTAAATATTCATCTCTCTATTTCTCTCTCCCTTTCCGTGGTTTGGGAATTTGCTGAGGAAGATTAATTTTATTTTCTTTTTCAGTTGTTGAGTCGAAGTTACTCAAAGCTAGAATGCAAATGCAACAAAAGTACCTGGACCAGTTTTACGTACTATACGATGATTTTCACATTTCTAAGTTGCCATTGCTCCCCCAGGAGGTATGCAAAGCTTGTTACACTAAAGTCTCGTTTTAAAGTGCATCCAATATCTCACAAAATTACTTAAAACACCAAATTTCTGACTGGGGAAACTTGTAGAACAAATACAAACCACAGACTCGTTTCATGATAAAATACGGTCGTTATCTATGATTCAATATATAAATTATGCAAACTTCATTGGTTCCTCCCACTTTATAGAATGTACATCTCTGTGTGTGATCAAGAATATTGATTCTTTTCCCGATAAAAAAAAAAAAAAAAAAAAAAAAAAAAAAAAAAAAAAAAGAAGAATATTGATTTTTGGCAAACATGAGCAGGTTTGTGGGATAGAGGCATTGAAAGCATTTTCGCACAACTTTTTATCACCCTATCAACCATCAATTGATCGAGGGACGGTAGAAGAATTGGAGCAGAGAGTATCAACGCTAAGAGAGCAACTGACAGAGGCTGAATCAGAACTCGAAATATTGAAAAAAGGGAAACAAAAAGTGTGATTTAACCCAGAAAAATAGATAGAGATGTTAACCGAGCTGGCTCATGACGCAAACCCCCAGCCTGCCTCGTTTCGTAGCTAAAGTAGCCGATTTTTGTTCCTTATTCAACATTTTACAGAGGGCATCATAATGTTTGGCTGATTCAAATTTTACTTTGAACAAAAAATAGTCAGATTCTTGATTTTTTACCCTCTTGTTAGAGGGAAATAAATGAGGACTTTGTTCTCTGAAATGATTTTATAATATTGGACAGCAGTCACACTCACAGCACATTCAGTTCATCAAAGATAGATTTGATTCATAGTCAAGGTGTTGGAAAATGGAAAGAGTTATATTTGCTCACTCCAATCTATTGGGCTGGGGCTTGCTTCAGAAACTGTGGAAGCCCATAAATACAGCAAAAGAGACGGAGCTAATTTACATTTTACCATGATTTTGTTGAACAGTTTAAAAAAAAAAACCATTAAAAAAAAATCATTTTCAAATAAAGAATATATATTTGTTGTAAAATTATGAACTTTTTCTTCTTTAAATTTGTGTTTATCTTATTTGTAGTTTATTATAGGTTTATGTTGTTAGATTCCATGATGTGGCAAGAAAAATTATGCTAATATACCACTACAACAAAATGATCAAATTCCAACGGAAAATTTCAATACGAATATATTTTAATGGAATTCCAACAGAAATTCCAACACCGTTAGAATGAGTTTTCCATTGGAATTTCCGTTGAATTTTGAAGATTCCAACTGTAGATTTTTTAACGGAGGTGGAAATAAAAATTCCAACGGTCTTTAAAATAGCCGTTGGAATCATCAAATTTCATATAAAATTCCAATGGAAAATTTATTCCAACCGAATATTGTCGTTGGAATATATTATCCTAGGATTTCCCGTTGAAATATAACATTTTTTTTGTAATGTACCAAACATGTAGTAATAATAAATATCAACTAAACATCTAACTCTTCCACAACATAATTAAATCAAACATTTGAAAATATTTTCTTACTGAATCATCAACAAATATTTGTGAATATAAAGTATAAACTACAATCAACCATCTCCGTTATCCGACTTTAAATCGTCGTTGATGCACAAGTGGCAGTGCCATCATGTAACACGGTTGCCACAGCCTGCTTAAAGACTCCACTGTGGTTCTATAAAAATTCGAAAAATCTTTTCTTTTGCGCCGACCAGTGTCGGATCCAGGGGAGGCAGAGAGGCTCTTGGCTAGGGTCTCACTTTGTTTGGGGCCACATTTTCTTTTTTTGTTAGTTAATACTATGCATTTGTGTTGGATTTGATCCTTTAAATAAATGAATGAAGTGGCCTAATTAATGAATGAGTAATGACTAAATATTGACTTAGCCTATTACACAAATAAAGATGCTAATTAATAAAGGATTAAGGGCTAATGACTGAATATGGACTTTGTCCACTACACAAATGAAGAAGCTAATTAATAAAAAGGCTAATGATTAAATATGTAATTCGTTTGTGAATTTGAAAACCTAAATATTTCATTTGTTTTCTTATGATGTTTGGTATGAACAATTTTTATTAGAATAATTAGTTTCAGTGATATTATTTTTATATGTCCTCGTGAATGACTGCTTCAATGTAATTTATTAAATATCTCTGTAAACTCCAGAGATAATTTATCATTTCCAAGATATATTTTAGGAGTGATGAAAAACAAGAAAAATCATTTCTTTTCAATTATTTATTTATTTAGCTTGTCTTGTTGAATTAGCTGTTTTTTTTATTCCCTCACCACACAAATTCAAATTGGGAACTTGAAAAAAAAAAGAAATTAGCTGTTTTTTTTATTCCCTCACCACACAAATTCAAATTGGGAACTTGAAAAAAAAAAAGAAATTGTCTAGGGCCTCCAAATTTCTGGATACGGCCCTGCCGACATGTCACAATTTGCTGTCAGTTGCCGATCGCGCGCCACCGATTAACGAGTTATTAGATTTGAGAAATAACTAGGTTAGATGGATTTGAGGTGTATGTCTTGTGCGGGTGTCAAGAAAGAAAGAGGAAATGAAAAATGAAGGAGAAACAGAAGGAGAAAGAAAGAGAGATGTAGGGGCGGGGTAGAGTTGGCACATTTGATGTGTTTTTAAAAGAATAAATAAAAATAAAAAATTAGAGTTAATACTTAATACATGTGTAAATAAAAATGATAATAATGCATACACTTTGGGCTTGGAATGTCGAATGAGCTCATATGTAATCCATTCCAAGGGTTTATCAACTCCAACTCCTAATTATATCGTGTGATCAACCTCTCAAAGCAACAAGACAGATCAATCATCCAAATGAAATCACACATATCAATCAACAAAAACCTTCAAACAACATCCCATCCCCACAAGATGACTCTAAAAACACACTTTCACTCCATAACTGGAGTGATCAAAGGCTTATTGTCGAAAAACGCCTCCAAATTCCCCCATACAATCTCAAACATTTTCTCGCACGACTCCCCAGTGTAGACACCAACATGCGGCGTCACGACAACATTGTCGAGCTCCAAAAACTCGTTCGGGACACGAGGCTCGTTTTCAAGCACATCCAACCCGGCCCCACCAATCTCACCCGCTTGCAAGCATGCCACCAATTCCTTCTCGTCAATCACGGGCCCACGCGCAATATTTACGATGAAGCCCTCCTTACCCAATGCCAAGAGCACGTCTCGGTTGATCAAGTGTCGAGTTTGCTCGGTTAGCGCGCAACATATGACGAGTGCGTCAGATTCGACAGCTAGTTTGAGGATGTCGGGATAGAATGTGTATGGGATGGAGGGCTTCTTGTTTCTCGAGTGGTACGAAATGCGGCAGCCGAATGGTTCGAGTCGCTTCGCGACCTCGAGTCCTATGTTGCCTAAGCCCACGATTCCAACTCGTTTGCCTCCTAACTACAATTGAATGATCAATATCAATATGAAACCATAAGCAACTATGGCTTTAGTTTATGACTAGTTTATATAATTATATTATACTCACTTTACATAGAATCAAACAACATAGGCAAGGTCACCTCGTACATAGTACGAATGGTTTGTGACAATCCAAGGAGCACAATAACCACACATCACACGTTTAACTTTGGGATTGGATAATATAAGATATTTTTGAATATTTTTGTCTCCGTGCGTTGAAAAATTGTGGGAAAAGAAAAATTAAGAATTGATATAAATTTCAAATTATTAATAAATATGAAATAAAGTTATAAAAATTAACTAATAAGAATGGTAAGTAAATAAATAGTCTTTTTGTTGGAAATATATAATAATAATAATAGTTATTATTTTATAGTTTTTAATTGTGTTGGTGTGTTTGTAGATAAAAAAGTGAGATGAAATGAATAGCAACTGTTGTGAAAATTTTTATTTGTGTAATTTTTACCCTGTACCCAAGAGGATAGATTCCTTTCTCGGGCCAAAGCCCGTTTCTCACGAACCGATCTGCGGCGCCGATTCTCCGCATGACGTCGAGGAGGAGCCCCACCGCGAGGTCCGCCACGTCGGCGGAGAATATATCGGCGGCATAGGCCACGGCGACGCCGCGGCGGCGGCACTCGGCCAGATCTATGTGGTCGAGGCCGGCGCTGGTGGTGACCACCAGGCCGAGGGAGGGGAGGTCCTGGAGCACGGTGGCGGGGAGCGGGAAGAAGCCGGCGCAGAGGGCGGCCCGCGTATTCTGGGCCTGGGCTCGAAGGAATTGGGCCAGGGGCAGCGGCGATTCCCACGGCTTCAGGAGGCGGAACCTGGAGGAGAAGGCGTCGGCGTGGGTTTGGAAAACGTGTGGTGGGCCGAGGACGATGGTTTCGGGCAATTGCTGGTTTCCGGCCATGGATTTTTCACCACAGTTGTGCCGAGAGCCCTTTTTTTTCGGTGAGCTTTTCTACACTGGGTTAAGGTAAAATGAACCGTTTCTATGATTTAATTCCGGGTGTGCGGGCTCCACTCTATGTTTTAATTTATGATGTAATTNAAGTATATCAATAACTCAAAACTCAAAATGAGGTCTTACACATACTCTCTCCTATTTTTATTATTTGTTATTCTAACTTAATTGATTATTTGTTAAATAAATATCGTTTTGACTATTTTGTATATACTAGTAATCAACATGTGCATTTGCACAGAGAATAATACTTTAAAAAGATAACAATATAAAAAAAATAAAAATAAATCATAATTTAATTCATTTAAAAAATATGAATTAAAAAAATAATTCTCAAAATTGATTTTGATCAAGTAATTGTTATGGAAGAGTCGTTACAACCATTTTCTTTATTCTAATACATCTGGCCATTTTCATAAGTGTGTGACTTAAAATTTGAGTACAATTTTGTAACTCTCTAGTCCCTTAATTGGTTTATGCTCATAATTTATGACACTCAAGCAAGTTATTTTGTAACTTAAAAATGAAATTGAATGCTGAAAATTTTGGAGAGATTATAAAATTTAATGCATGATAATATAATTTAATGTTTTGTTGCTCCTCTTTATATATATATATATATAAAGATTTTGTAACTCCCTTGATTGGTTTATGCTCATAATTTATGGTATTCAAGCAAGTTATTTTGTAACTTAAAAATGAAATTGAATGTTGAAAATTTTGGGGGAAAATAAAATTTAATGCATGATAATATAATTTAATGCTTTGTTGCTCATCTTTATATATATATATATATATATATATATATATATAGATTTTTCCATTATTACCCTCATTTAATTAATAAACACACTACGTCTTTTCATATTCACTCTCCATCTTTTCTCAAAACATCAATCTCTATCCTCATTAATGAGGGTTATTATTGGCAAACAAAATATTCTTAATCATTGTGCAACTTCTCAAAACGGTATTTATTAAAAATAGGAGGGAGTACAATAAAACCTCGTTAAATTAATACTCGATAAAATTAATAACCTCGTTAAAACTAATAATTTGTCCGGTCCCAAGTTGAGATCAGTACAAATTTGGGACCCAATCAATAAAATTATAAGATAATAATTTTTTTGAGATCCCAGTGTATATATATTGGTCCCGACGAAACTATAAATTAATAATTATTAAAAATAATCCATAAATATATATATGATGCACTCGAAGATTCTTAAAACAACTTCCACAGTTTGTGTTCATGGAATTCTACTAGTACATTTGTATTTTAACTTAATTTTCATCAATATATAGAGGTCAACTGTGCATATACGTTAAAATCTCTTTAAATTAATAAATTACTAATTTATCGATATAATAATATCTCTATAAATTAATAAAATCCTCCAGTTCCAACATTATTAATATATAGAGGTTTTACTGTACAACTAAGGAGGTACTTACACCTGCATTGCAAATTAGGTCCTAGACATTCTAATAATGAAAGGATTGATGAAATTTTCTAAATACTACTAAAATAACTATTATAAACTCGAATTGAATAACGATAAAGAAGCAAGAGAGTTGGGGATAATTTTGTTTCTAGTTCTAAACGCAACTACTGAACAATTGATTGTTCGGTTCAAAGATTGAAGCTCTCGTCTAAACACCTAGTGGTTCGCTCCCAATAATAATCGTAATAAGGAATTGAACATACATGAGCAAGTTTAAGCATACACATTAGCCCAGAGATTCGTCCCCGATATTTTTACGAACACGGGTACGGACATAGACAAGCACATATTTCAATCAACAAACCTATAGACTATTCTATTATGAAATCGTCAACCCCATACGAGCCTAAGTCCAACAACTCTTTCTCGTAAGTCCAACAACTCTTTCTCGTTCATTTCTAAAAGTTGTTTAATTAGATTAGAAGAACATGTCGACGTAATACGAGTCTAGGTTCAACAACTCTTTCTCTTTCGGTTCTACAAGTTGTTTACCTAGCTGGTGATCAATCAACTAACCCCAACAATGAAGTCATTTAAAGCCTCCTTTCTTTTTTTCTTCCGCTATTCCACTCTGTTAAAGCATTCTGCAAAACTATTGCATCATTTTCACCACTTCTTTTATCGGCCAGATACCTATTTATTAATACATTAAGTTTGAGGCAATCTCCGTGAAAGGCATAAAATGAGATTTTGCTGACTCCATAGTTCACTGAAGGTTTCGTTCTTGACTAGCTTCATTATAGTACTGCGTAAATCGCCTCCAAGAACCTTCGGACGTTTGTTGAGCGCCAATGACCGGATCACTTGAAATGGTACAGAAAGCTCGACATAGAAAAACATCCTCCTAATGTGTCCACGTCATTGCTGTTGCTTTACCGTGTCTTTTAGGCTCAACTTCTTTTCCTTTTTATGAATCTGTATTAAGACAAATGTTGTCATTTCCTTCAACCTCCGTGATGGTGCAAGGTCTTGGGACTTCAATGGCCTACTAGAGAATCTAGTCGGCATGAAATTTTCTTGCTGATAAGGCATCCCAAATTCATTTGGAATTCCACATTGGGGCGGCATTGCCCACATATTGAGATTGATTAATGTTCATTAAATTTGGTGATTGGATAAAAAAAGTTTCTCTAAATTTTTTGGAATTAGACAAGAAGGCATTGGTGTGGGTACTTGAAATGAAAAATTTTGAAATTGGGGTTGTAGTTGCATTATGTGAAATTGTGTAAATTGCATATTTCGTGTATAACTTGAATTTACGGAAGACAGACTGTCATCCTCCGATGAGTTTAGCATATTTGAGTTGGATCTGTATGGATTGTTATCCATTACAGTTTGAGAGATTTAGAAGATATGATTTTTCTGTATTATTTCTTGATGAAAGATGTAATAGTATATAGAAATTGTAGAGAAAACAATCTCATTTATAGACGAAAATTTCCATGGCCAATTCTTATCAGTTCAACACACAAATCAAAGCATCCGGCGAAAATAAATGGTTGATGGATGACAATACACCTGCAATTTGACCATCACTATTCCAAGCATCTAACACAAAAAGAAATGATAATAATTGAAAGCTAATTTATGGATGACAATTCAAAGCTGCTCACAAAAATAAAATGATTGATGGATGACAATTCACTGATGCCTGCGACCTTGTTTTTTTTCTTTTTAACATCACTATTCAACTTTAATAATATAAAAAAGGGTAGAATTAATTAGAATAACAATTCAAGTTTATAATCCATAAACTTAAAATTATAAAATAATAAGTGTTGACATCAAGATAGAATACTCCGATATTACAATACAATTAAAGAAGTCGCGAAGATTAATGCATAAATTAGATTCTGGACGACGTTAAGCAGTACATTCTACATCTCGGTAACCTCACCTCGGTGCCAATAAGAGATCACGGATATTTGGAAGGTCATCAACACAAGTCGTCTGAACCTCGAAGAAGGCCAATTCGGTCAAAGAATTATTTATTAAGAAGTCGCAGAATATCGGAAATTAATCAAGATGCCGACATCGCAAGACAAACCGACTTCGATCCGACAGATGTGACACTCGTCACACAGATAGAGGCGCGCCCATGCTAATCATTGCCTACAAGGTTCTTCTACGTCATCGCCGCCCCTAAGATGTCAAATCTTCATTAAAACGGGAATGATTTGTCTAGGGGTGTGTGCCAAACATACCTATAAATAGCAGTTCCGAAAACGAGAGAAGGGTTCGAAAAACGATCATATACGCTCATATATTCACCTCGGATATCTCATCGTAAACCGACTTGAAATTCATAAAAAAACCGACCTTTTTGTATTAAAACCGACTTCGAAATATTCAATAAAAATCTCATTTTCTGCAATCTTTTGTGTTAATATTACATTGTGAACGTTGATCAAATCCGTTTATCAACATTTTGGCGCTAGAAGGAGGGCTCCATAAGATATTTGGAGTTAATTTTCGGAATATACACACCACATATTACAAAATCGAGAATGTCACAGTCCGGACAAGACAATCCAACCACCATGGGAAGCGCTGTTCGTGTTGTTGAACCACCAACCGGTCAACACAACCCAATACCTGTTATGCCGGACATTACCCTGCTCATGCAAAATCCGGAATTCGCTCGTGGACTCACTGCTTTGGTGGCCCAAACCCTGCCGGGGCCATCACACAGAGCACCAGGACAACCTTTTGCTCCCATAACTCCGGCGAGACAACAAGGTCTTCCCCTACCAAGGGATAACAATAATCAAGCGGCGTCCCACGCTACTTCACAACCACGCAATCCACCCCCTCCGCCGGTGAACAACGTACTGCCGGTGGAAATGAATCAACCAGAAATGAATCAACCAGAAATGGTTGCTGAAAGTCACCCTCGACAAGTTGAAAGTTACCCTCAGCATATGCCCAGAGTTCCCCGTGCGGCACGTTCATTATTTCAACCAAACGAGAACCCGGCTGACCTGAGAACGCAAATTGAGCGTAATCGTTCCGCTCGACGTAACGCTTCCGAAGTCGAGGCGTTAAGAAGAAAGGTGGCAGAGCTTGAAGCCCGGCGAAACACTCAAATCAGACCTTATCAGCATCCTCACGTGCCAGAATCGGGCCATGTTTATATGGAAGTCGGTTCTCCTCTAGCAACCGAGTTAACTAGAGGGCCGTTACCAGGAAAAGTCAAAGTCCCCCAAATTGGCCTCTACGACGGAAACGCGGATCCTGATGCCCACCTCGGACATTACACGTCATGGATGGACTTGCATGGTGCTGACGATGCTTTACGATGTCGTATGTTTTCCTTGACCTTAGGTCCCAAAGCTCAGAAGTGGTACTATTCGCTACCGCCTGAATCAATCAGATGTTGGGGCCAACTCAGGTCGGCTTTCAGGTCCCATTTCATCGGGGCTCAAATTAGCTTGATACCTAAGGAATCTATTACGAACATAGTCCAAAAGGAGGATGAAAGTTTAAAGGACTATATTGCACGTTTTAATGAACGCGTGCAAAACATGGAACCTTGTCATCCTGAGACACTTCTTGTCTCAGCAATCTCTGGATTAAAGCCAAGATCCATGTTCCGCTGGGCGCTGTGTCAGAACAAACCCAACACCTTTCAAGAGTTCCTTGTTCGC